GTTTCCATATCTTGAAACAGGGGACCCTGTTCCTAACTCAGGGGATTCTTTTTCCTTATCTTGAAACAGGGCAACTCCGTTCATTCAATTCTATTTTCCTGCAACTTTCAGGGGAAATGGATGGGGAATTTGGAGTTTATATTTCTTTTGTGAAAACTTCTTTCTCTAGTTTTTGATTTTCTAAAAAATCTGTTAAAATTGATATGCAACTGTAGAACGAACCAGAGAGAAGGGATTGTGGATTTAACAGATGGTATCGTAGCAAAGTTTAGGTCTAAAATGGTAGTCACCACCACTGAGCAACATCATGAAACCAAGAGCTTGGAAGGCTATTTTTTTGGTCAGAGATGAAGTCACCCACAATTCAACATGATGATCTTTTATGTCTTTTTCCTTTTCTGGGTGACTGAGGTCAAACTCAATTATAATTTTAGAGATGCTTTTTAAATTTAAATCTGTTTAAGCAAATCTCAAGGCCCAATGGTTCATTTTTTAAGTTTTAAATGTTTAGATTAAAATTGGTCACGATTTTCACTAATAACTTGGAAAATTCTTCAATCCCCCTATAATCCCTTATGTTCAAAAAAAAAAGAAAAAAATCTGTTTAAGCAAATCTCAATTTTGTCGTTATTTTCATTTCTTTTGAACAGAACATGAGTGATATGAGAAAATACAAAGAAAAAATCGTGAGAGTTTTATTAATGTTAAGGAAAACACCCATTATTTTCATTTCGATTTAGTTAAAATCCTTAATTTTTCTTCTACTTTGGAAGGAGGGCCAGAAGCCCAGAAAGGCAGCTTAGACTAATTTCATAACACCGCTTTTCAACTATTTTCTCCGAATTATCACGTCATTACCCTCATTTAAGCTGCACAATCAACATAAATAAAACACTAATTGTTGAGTACTTCTAATCACATCCCCCAAAATATATATTAATTACCTTAACTTATTAAAAAATTTATTTATTATAATTATTAAAATTTATTTTTTTAATTTTTTCTTTATTTATAGTTAAATAAGAAAATTTTAATATATTTACATCTCTATTAAAAATAATAATAAAATTAAAAAATTACTAATATTTAATATCTTACAAAATAAAAGTGAAACAATTAAATTAAATTCTTATTTTAAAAAATGAAATAACAAAATCAAATTGAATGGAGTAATGTATAATACAATAAATAGTTAATTTTTTTTCAAAATATTAGTTGTGTTGAAAATTATGAACTAAAATAATCATATAAGATTAACGAGTTATTTGATATGATAGTTCGAATTTTATTTAATTCTATCACTATAAATTGTTAGATTAAAATTGTTTAAAGAAACTAAAATTTAGCAAAAATAAATTTAAAATAATAAAAATTAAAAGAAAAATTATGTCAAAATTTTTCTGTGTCTTTAAAATTCTAATTAAGATTCTCATTAGTAATTTAACAAAAAAAAAAAACTAATAATAGGATCAGATTTAGTAATTTTTAAAAGGTTAAGGACTATTTCTTGGTCAAATGAAAAGTTGGGATAAAACCTAGTATTAAAAGTAAAGATTGAGGATTAAATCTGATATTTATACTAAATAAAAAAATAAAGTAAACGAAATCGATCCAGTATCATTACAGCTCATTGATTCCCGTGTAAGACAATCCAACGGTGCAGATTGTTTTATACTGTCTCCTTATTTTGTTTTGCCCGCACCAGATCGCGATTTCTGGCGCAAAACCCACCGTTACCGAGATTTCCCGGGAAAAAGAAATGGGAGAAAAAAAAAAAAAAAAGATAAAATTAAAAACATTAAACTTAACAGCTTCTCTCAGGAAATCGCAGATCCCAAAAAAAAAAAAAAAAAAAGTAAAATTAAAAACATTAAACTTAACAGCTTCTCTCAGGAAATCGCAGATCCCAAACGGTCACCGGTGCCTCCTACTCCGATCCAATCAGACCCCCTCCCGTCTCTAGGGTTTCCTCTCCTCCTCTCTCCGATCAATCCATTGTCCATGGATGATCCCACGGGAACCAGTCAGCATCCGCCACTGCAGTCAGCTCCGGTAACTCCACGATTGAACCTCCCTCCGAGAATGTCAGATTCTTCTCTTCCTCTCGAGAATCTTCCGTCTCGGACCAGTCACGTTAACCGTATGATTAATTCCGGCTACAGTCCGTCGCCGTCGCGAACTATTTATTCGGATAGGTTTATCCCCAGCAGATCCGGCTCAAATTTTGCGCTTTTTGATATCTCTAATTCTCCCGCGTCATCCGAGGGGAAAGAGGATGGGTCTGGAACTTATAAGAGCCTCTTGCATGCCGCTCTTTTTGGGCCCGACACTCCCCTGAAGAAGGACTCTTTGAGCATGCCGAAGTCGCGGAATATTTTCCGGTACAAGACTGAGACTAGGAAGTCACTGCATTCGATTTCCCCTTTCGCGTTTGATGAGGGGACGCCTGGAGTTAGCCATACTCCAGTTAAGGCTCCAAGGAAGGTGCCAAGGTCGCCTTACAAGGTGGGGCTTTTGGTTTTGTTGTTGTGATTGAAATTATCAGTTAGATCTTGGATGGCTGTTTACTTATTTTTTAGGTTGATATAGGTTTTGGACGCACCTGCATTACAAGATGATTTTTATTTGAATTTGGTGGATTGGTCTTCGCATAATGTGCTAGCTGTGGGGTTGGGAAATTGTGTTTATTTGTGGAATGCTTGTAGCAGCAAGGTAAAGTTCTGAATTTTTTCTCCATTTGTCTTTCTTTTTCCTTGTTCTTCTTCTTTTTTCATTTGTCTGTTCCCTCTCTGACAATGAAGGGCATGCTTTCACAGGTTACAAAGTTGTGTGATTTGGGAATTGACGATAGTGTGTGTTCAGTTGGTTGGGCTCACCGCGGAGCACATCTTGCAGTTGGGACTAGCAATGGGAAAGTTCAGGTTAGATATTTTTGATAACGTTGCAAACTTATTAAAGTTGTAGTATTTACCAAGGTGAAAAAGGTCAGAAAGCTTGTTTATAAACAGGAGAACCACAATTATAAACTTTTAGCTTCACTTAAAGTAGTTATTGTGAGGGTAGTGAGATTGATTGAACGAGTGGCTGTAAGTTTTGAGCAATAGGAGCAGGAAAGGATGGACTACAGGGTAAATTAGTAACCTTTAGGATGCCTTTATCCAAGTTCTTGAAACTGGGTATTAACCACCTGGAGATCTTTCAGCATGTACAATTATTAGATTTTTAGCATGATACTTGTGAAATTGTGGTACTATGCTATTCAGTTGTTAGACAATGAATGTACTTGTATCCCTTATAGATTTGGGATGCATCTCGCTGTAAGAGGCTAAGAACAATGGAAGGCCATCGGTTACGTGTTGGGGCCTTAGCTTGGAGTTCTTCTTTGTTGTCTTCTGGTAGCCGTGACAAAAGTATTCTTCAAAGAGATATTCGTGCTCAGGAGGATTTTGTTAGTAAACTCTCAGGGCACAAGTCAGAGGTTAGAGTCTCCCACTTCATCTTCAGCTTGATTGAACTTTTCTTTCTAATTGCTTGCATTCTACCTATTATCCTTATATTGCTTTTATTATTGTCTTTGATTTCACAAGCACTTCTTTCCATTTTACAAAAACCGATTTCACACCATCAGCATTTTCTTTTGGAGATTACCATTGATTTCCTGTTTATTGACATTTGTATTTATATATTGAACTTATGACTCTGGATCAGTAATTTATGTTGGTTGTGATGCATGCAGGTCTGTGGCTTGAAGTGGTCTTATGATAATCGTGAGCTAGCATCTGGTGGAAATGATAACAGAGTATGTGATTGCAGTCTTTTTCTTGTCTAAGTTATGCTCATGCACAATGTGTGTTGATTCTTCTTTCTATTGATGGCTGATTTTGTTTCTCATTCATATGTAGCTTTTTGTTTGGAATCAGCATTCCACTCAACCAATCTTGAAATATTGTGGGCATACAGCAGCTGTAAAGGCAATTGCATGGTCTCCCCATCTTCATGGACTTCTTGCATCTGGAGGCGGTACAGCAGATCGTTGTATTCGATTCTGGAATACAACCACTAATACACACTTGAGTTGCATGGACACTGGCAGTCAGGTGATCTTGTGATCTTTTTTTCCTTTTCTATTTTTTAATTGTATGTGTCCCTCAACCTGGTGTATGCATTCATTGAATGGAAATGAATATTTATAATCTATCTGGATGTTATATTTATTATGATAGTCGAAAGTTTTAACGGTTTTTCTTAGGCCAAACCTCCTATTTGCACCCTGTACTTTTTTTTTTCCCGTGGTCAACACCCTTGGTAATTTTCACTCCTAGTCAACACCCTTTATAATTTGAAATCTGTAAAAAAAAACCCAAATTACCCACAAAATCAGTGTGCAAATTGGGGGTTTGACCATTAATTTGTGGGTTTCCTATGGATTTTAAATTATGGAGAGTGTTGACCGAGAGTAAAAATTCTTGAGGGTGTTGACCATGGAAAAAAATAATGTGTAGGGTGCAAATGGGAGGTTTGGCCTTTTTCTTAATCGTTATTTGTGAAATAACTTACTCATTGGTAATCTTTTTCACATGAAACTCATAAATAGATGGGAAGCTAGATTTTTAGAGTTGCACATCAGAAGTGCAGAAAAGGTTTGATTTGTAGTGGATTTGTGTAACATCAGGCCATTAGAGATTTGCCATTACATATTAATTGTTTGTAGTTTTTTCATGTTGTACATTTAGGGGTTAAAACTTTTATTCTTGCTACATGATGTATTGTAACTTTGTGTTTGAAGATCCTTTTTGCCTTTGTACTTCAATCTCTTTACTGGAGCTACAAGTTCTATAAATGTTCTAATGTCCCTACCATGTGGCAGGTATGCAATCTTGTGTGGTCTAAGAATGTGAATGAACTTGTCAGCACTCATGGATACTCCCAAAACCAGATAATAGTCTGGAGGTATCCTACCATGTCGAAGGTATGAAATTAACATAAAATGTGTTTATGATTGTAAAGCATGGTTAGGCGCCAATCTCTTTGGTGGTTTTAACTCGAATATCTTCTGCTGATGCAGCTGGCAACTCTAACAGGCCATACATACAGAGTTCTTTATCTTGCAATTTCACCTGATGGACAGGTAGTCTATCCTTCCCAACTGCAATAAGATAAGCAATAGATAAATGAGATCCCATGCTCCCTTTCCATGGTTGTAAAAGTGTATTTCTTTCTTGCAGACAATTGTTACTGGAGCTGGTGATGAGACCCTGAGGTTTTGGAACGTGTTTCCTTCCCCTAAATCCAAGGTCATAACTGTGATACCAAACTGTTATGTGTCACAAAGTCAAAATTCTTATCTGCCATTGCTGACTCTGTTTTATATTTTGTACCATTTCTTATGTCGGCCAACAGTTCTCGTTTTTCTTCTTTCTTGGTATTATACTGAGGTTTATAACATGTAAAACGCAGAACACCGAGAGCGAGATTGGAGCATCATCTTTTGGAAGAACAATCATTAGGTGACATTATCAAGCACTGCCATTATTTTGAAGCATGACAGCAACATGTGACAGAGCACTCTCGTGCTCAAAAGATCTTGTCGTATTGATCCCGCTACTTGGATTGAATCAACCGGCCCACCGGCAATGTAAAGTTCACATCAAGTGCTACAACATACTCATATCCAAGTTATTGCAGATTATCCTGATCTATGGTTAAGATGTGCTATCAACTGTTCATACCTGATCCTGGTCCCCCAGTTGTACAGACAAGAGAGGGATGTTAACGGGACAAGAACTATTTAAGCACATTTTTTTTGTTGTCCTTTATTGTAAATAACTTTTGTTTTTTCTCCTGTTTCCACTTCAAATTTTCCATTTTGTATTTTCGAATTATTAAACTTCTTCATTGCTTCTGGTTGTGTATTTATTTATTTATTAAAAATGGCAAAAGCTTTTCCATCTGGCTTCAACTTTTTGTGAGATGCATTTCAACACAGCAGCAGAAGTTGAATAAGTTTCTAACATATTTGTTTTTTTATTTTTTTTATTTTCTTAATATCAGATAAACTACATAATAAAAGATAATTTTCTCTTTTTCAATCATTTAAAAATAAGTTTCCAACATATTTCATGACAATAATCAGAGACACTTCATGTAACAGAGATTTTCAGGCAAGTGCTCCAAACCCCACCCACCCCCACCCCAATACGATCTGTACAAGTTGGGTGGTCTGATGAATTGACCTAAATGTACATCGTTTATGATAAATAAATCACTAAATAAGAGAGTATCACAACACCACTTTCGTAATTTAGCAAATAGATGAATCAATAGTCATTCGATGGTCTCAAGGTTGGTGAACTGCAACCCATGGTGGGGCCTATGATTTTCACTTTGCTGGGCAACCTTTTGTGACCATTGGATCAAGCTTATTGGTGGGAAGCAACAGCTACAGTCCTCTTGGCATGGCTGGGGCAGTTCCCAGTTGCTTAATGGGGGAGGTTGCTCTTGCTTTTGCTTTTCCTCTTTTGGGGCCCCACCAGGAGCTCCAGCATCTTTGAGGGGACCCCAGCACTCTACCCTGTTGAATTCTGGAATGTTCGAATGGAAATAAACCCAAACCAGAGCTTCCTGTAATTCTGGGTAGTTTTTGAACAGATTGCCATCTCCATGAACAAAGGCTTTCAACACCTATTAATTTCATGAAGAATTGTTTAGAAAATTAAATTTTATTGGGTAGGAAAGATTTAGTTAAATTTGTAAGTACCACAGGCAGTTCTTTGCAGAAGATGAAATATCTGAGCCTAGCACACCAGTCTAGGAGAAAATGGCCTCCACTTATGTGACAGTGGACATGTAGAGACATATTTTCCTTAACTTTCTTCCACTCTGCCACCACTTCATCTCTGTATAATTTGTTGTACCATCCCTGCAACTGCAACCAAATCCAACTTCAGTTCCCCCACCAAAAAGAGGCAAAAGTCAACTTTTACCTTCCTATCTTATCAAGTCAAAAACTTTTACTCTTTACTGTAATATTGTTAAACTCTCATTTTATTATATTTATAGTTTTTAATTCCTTATGGTATTTTTAACTTTTTATTTATTAAAATTAAAAAAAATAATTCTCATTTTATGATATTTTGTTAGTTTTATTAACTGACTGTTAATTAACTGTTAACTTATAAAATCTATTTTCTTTCAATTAACAAAATTAACATAATTAATTTTATAATATTTCGTTAATTCTATTAACTGATTATTTGTTGACTGTTAATTAATAAAAATCTATTTTCAGTTAATAAAATTAACAATTAATATAAAATAAATGTTTTTTTTATTTTAATAAATGATAAGTTAAAACTTATAAATTTAATAAAATAAAAAATTAAAAATATTATAATATAAAATAACACACTACAACTTTCAAAGATGAAAAGTAAAAAAGTAAGTTTTTGCTTAAAAAAAAAAAAAGAAGAAAAACTAAAATTTTCTTTTTAAAAGAAAAGGGAAGCCCTGCATCCTGCCAAAGTATCTAACTTTTTCAGTATTAAAGAAAATTATTTCCTCTCTTTTTAAAATATAAACATTATCCCCTGTTTTCTCTGCTTTTTAAGTTTCAAGATGGAGTAAAGCAACAATGGTACAAATTCAAAATAAAAAGGGTATATTAAGAAAAACAAATTATTTAAGCACTGAGGAATTAAAAAGAAAATCATATTTTATAGAGATGAAAGAGTACCTGAGAATTATTTATGGTCTGTGAGATTGCCAGAGTAAGCTTGGAGGTTACATCACTATGTGTTAGAGTATAAGTCCTTGGAAGGTACCCTGGATGCTTCTTCTCATCCACTCCCAAAAACAGTACTTTTAGCTTTGATGCCTCAAAAATCGACGGTCCAAACAATCTTGCCACCTGATCCCACCAATTAATCAACATAAACTATGTTTTAAAAAAAAAAAGAAAAGAAAAAAAGAAGAAGAAGCAAAGAAGATATATATTACAGGAACAAGAGCTTGATTCTTCTTCTTGGATCTTCTTCCGGAGACAAAAACAGAGGATTTTGGGTTTGAAGAGAGGACAGGAGCAACAGTACTCAAAGTACCCATCTCCTCCTTCTTCAGACCAAATTAAATTGGACCTCCAAGTCTTATGGAACGAAAGAAATCATCCAAAAATAGAAACTAGAGTATACAACAATAATTAAGAGAGAAGGAATCACAAGGAAAGGAAGAAAAGATTGTTAAAGAAAAGAATCCGGGAATGGAGGAGAAATTGAGGGATTCTTAAAGAAAGAGGAGACTAAAACTTGGAAACTTTGGAATACTTTGAAAGAGACTCTCGAGATAGAATGGAGCTCAAAGGAGGTTGCGTTTGTTTGGGTATGGCGTAGTTTTTTTTCTATTGAGAAACGGTAGCTTGAAGAAAAAAGGCAAAACCATAAGTCAAGCCCCTGAACTAGCCCCTGAACTAGCCCCAGAATCGCTAGTAAGCCCCTAAACTTTAATTGATGCATATAAGCCCTTGAACTCTGGGATCAAAGCAATTAAGCCCTTCTTCTTAAGCCAACTTAACTGCCGTTTGAGACTCCGTCGCCTGGCTTTGCTGCCGTTTGGGACACACCGGGTTGGCTGCTTGGATGGCAAAATATTCCCACGTTATGCTTATATGACAAGGAATCTGACATTTGAGCAGGATTTTTGAATTATTTTATCATTCAATTTTTTTACTTAAAATAAAGTTAAATAAATTAAA